CCTATCGCTATGGCTAAGCTCTCCTTCTCGCCCACTTCGTCTTCGGGCTCACTGCAGACCACCTCGCACAAGTCGCTGTGGCAGCGCTTCCACATGGCTTACGCAGGAATGACTGAATGGCTGGGCGCTGCATCTTGATTTATACTTCTGTAGCTCGTTGGTCTACCCCTTTCCGATGCCCGTGGTGCACACAGTCCCATACGGTACTTGCTTGACTGGACCAGGACTGACTGGGACTGGGTACCGCCGACTCAGCACAGGTGGACTCCACCACTTGCCCTTGCCTCTAGACTACTGTAAACAACGAGCGAAGGGCCACTTCCGGACCTTCCAGAAGTCTGTGGACTTGGCCCTTCGACACTGTAGCAGCTACGACCTTGACCTTTCAGGACTGTAGCAGCTACGACCTTGACTTTTCAGGACTGTAGCAGCTACGACCTTGACCTTTCACAAGTCCTACAGCTACGACTTCTAGGGCCTACGAAGACCTCCAAACAACAGGTCTACAGATCGAACCCCTACCACCTACGAACCCTACGACAGTCTACCAACTGTTACCAATACACAGGTCACGGGTTCAACTACGGGGTCGACATGGATACCGTACACGGGTAAGGTGAGGACTAGGGATCGAGCCCTGGGACCTGTATCCGCTACTGCAAACAGGTGAATACCGTTTCACACACCCCTTTAAAGTTTAAGCCCCTTTAGCCCCTTTAAAATTCATTTATACTCCCCTTCCCCCCCCTTGACAGCCAACTCTCAAAAAAAGAAAAGAGCCCAGATTTGGGCTCCTCTCGGAGAGCGTGGAAAAAACCCACCGCCAATTTTTTTATTATTATTATTTTTTTCCCATGGCTGGGTATCCTGGGCATCAGACCCCCCCGGGCGTCACGCCCGGGTGACCGGCCGGTCATGAAAATATTCCTAGATATATAGTCCAGACCGGCCGGTCATGAAAATCTTCCTAGATATATACTATATAGTATATAGTTATTTTCCCTGCCTCACAGCCAACTCTGGCTCCAGTCTCTTTTTGTGCCAAGTCTGCGTAGCGCCCGATTCCACTTCTCCCCTGCTCAGCTCGTTGGGTCAGTTGATTTTGTTTCCTTTTTTCTTTCCAGTTCGGTTTTTCAAACTTTTTTCCCTTTCTGCATGCACTCCCTTCTGTTCTCCAGACTTTGTCGATCATCTGCCTGGATTTTCTGCATTCTACTGGGACCACCTCTCTCCCTCGCACAATCTCTCTGTGCCACTGCTTTTCACAAACATCCCAGCGCTCACTCTCCAACAAGAAGAAAGAAATCGGACGGATCATACCAGCACTGTCTTTTTTGCTTTTGCTTTTTTTTTTTGCTTTGTTTTGTTTTAACTTTTAACCAACACTACCTTTCACAGGCGAGCTTTTTTTTGCAATGAAGCAAAACAGTTCGGCTGTGCAAGAAAAAGCAAAGCCAAAGAAAAGCAAAACAAAAACTCTTCTACTTCTGCGTTTGTCAGGGGCTTGGCCTCCCAAAACTCTTTGGCTGGCAGACAGCGCCAGCCAAAAAGGGGGGGGGGAAAAGACGCGCCGCGCCGTTTCATTGTGAATTTGGCGCGCAGCACAAATCCGCCATCAGAGAAATAGGCTTGGAGGTAGTGGTGGTTTAAATGTAGGAGCACGTCGAGCAGTCTTTCACTGATTTTGATGAGAGCCGGAAGCGAGTGTGCAATGCACTATGACTCCTGCAACATCTACTTGTCACAAGTAGATAAGCACGTGAACACCAGAAAGATATTCCTGATGAATTACCGTCTTTTTTGGTTATTATTCTACGACAATAATTTATTAATTTTAGTAATAGAATCGTTCAAACTCTAGAAGCAAAGTTTAACCAGGGTGACACACTGAGTCTCTACACTTGTTTGCTCTGTTGCCTGTCTCCTCTCAATGTGCAGGCAGCTCTGAAGAAAGTACTCGGCGAAGAAACTTCGCAAGCTGGGTCTCTGGTAGCATTTGACCGTCTGCGGTTTGACTTCAACTCTCCCCGGTAAGCACGTTCCGTGGGTCTCGCTCCTCTACACAACCTTGTACATGTTTCTGGTGCCATTCATGGTCCCGATACATTCAAAATGTTCCATTGGTTCGAATGAACGTTTGTGTACTGGAGCGATGCCCCTTTCTTGCAAACCTGTGGATTTGTGTGTGTGTGTGTGTGTGTGTGTGTGTGTGTGTGTGTGTGTGTGTGTG